CCCCCGCACCCCGTCCAACCCCAAGCAGGACCGGCCAGGCCCGGACAGCGTCTCACGCAGGGCCTCTGGAGGGAAGTCAGCCCACTTCCAGAGGGCCCTGCCTGAGCGACAGGGCGCACTGGCGGGTGCTCGTGGTGTCCGTGCTCACGGTGGGAACAAGTCAGAGCCCACGCTTGGGCTGAGGAATGAGGATGGGCCGAAAAGTGAGGGCCCAGAGCTGTGGCAGGGACGGGCAGGTGGAAGATGGTGCTGGGAGCAGGTGACGAGGACGGAGGCCAGCGCGCCTTCCATCCTCACGCGGGGGTCTCCCCAGCCCCCAGCAGCACGCGGGAGCAGGGCAGGACCCACAGGGCTTCCTAGAACCTTCTGGAGTGTGCAGAAACAGCATGACGAAGGCATTGGAAAAGCGCCATGCAGAAGACGTCCGAGGGAGGGACGGGGCGTGTCCGGGTCACACGGGGTCACTAGGCATCACCTCCTAGGCCTGCTCCTCTCCTCTGCCAGGCGCCTCCGGCCTCCTCCATCCCGAATGCTGCTGGTCCACCCCTGCTCCGAGCAGGCCCGGGGGCCCCACGAGCTCTCCTGGCCTAGCTCCCAAGCTGCCCATTCGTGCCTCACACTCCTGGGGCCTGAGGAGGGATGAGGACCTGCTGTCTCAAGGACACCGAGACCAGACCACCGAGCCACCCCCGCCACCGGCCCCCTGCGAGGCGTCCAGCTGTTCGGGCTAGCCGAGCCAGAGTCACGAGAGGTGGGGGAAAAGTTTGGAAAGAAATAATTATGAAGCAAATGAGCAGTATGAGCACGTCCAAGGCTGGGCCCACGCACCCGTGGGAGGACCTGCTTATCCCAGGGAGGGAAACAGTCCCAGTGGCCGGGCAATGGGTGGACTCAGGCCCTACGCCCAGAGGGGACCGCTCCCAGCTGCAGGTCTGTAAGACATCACTCGGCCCCGCAGCCCACGGGTCCTACCTCGCTCACTGCTGCTGGTGTACAAAAGGGCCGGTGGAATACGTCGAAATTCTCCTGAAACAGTGTTCAGTAAGTCCACACTCACTCATTGAATCGTTTCACGAAGATTTATTGGGCTTCTCCCGGGGGTCAGGTTCAGGGGCGTCACCTCAGAGGACCCAGCTGGCAGACGTCACCACCACCATGAGGTGCTGGGCCAAGGTGGCAGCAGACAGACACGGCGCTGAAACCCGCCCCCACGGAGGCTGCAGTGACAGGAAAAGGCTGAGGGCCGGAGGGCACGGACACCAAGGCCTCCGCCTTCTCTGGGGAGGTCAGGCGGCCGGGCCAGGTGGAGGTGACGGTGGGTCGTGGAGGAGGAGAAATGAGAGTCCCCGGGCAGGGGAAGGGCTGAGGGAACAGCACGAGTGGAGGCTCAGAGGCAGGACAGTGCCTGGGAATCCCCAGGGCACCGAGAGGCCGATGCAGGGGGAGGGCGAGCCAGGGTCAGCGGCCCGGTGGGCGAGGCCCAGGCATCCAGGTCACGCTGAGGCGGGCCGATGGCACAGCCGGCACACACCTGTCGCTCTCTGACACTCCTCAGGTGTGCGGGCTGGCTCCTCGCCTCAGGAGGCCCTCCTGCAGGGTGGTCCTACCCCCACCCCGACCCCCACGGCAGTCTCAGCGTCAGCCTCTCCGGCTCGGGGAAGTGCTCTCCTGGGAGACTGAGCTGCGCCCACCACACACCCTCCCGCCGAGCCCCGTCTGGGGCGATGCAGGGGAAGGGTCAGGGCCTGGGCACATCTCCGCCCACAGCCCAGCCCGCCCCGGCCCCAGCCCCCTGCCAAGTTGCTCCTGGACACCAAATGGGCCCGGTTCCACTTGTCCCTCCTTTCCTTTCCCCTGCCCGCCCCCTGCTGGAGCTGCGAGAGGGCAGGCCCAGCCGGCTCAGTGGCATGGGGCAGCCCCAGCTCCAGCAATGGTTCCCACCTCCCCAGGGCAGAGCTTGCCAGGCCTGCTGGGGCCAGGCCTCTGGGCCAGGCCTGGAGCTCCCACGAGTCCCAGGTGGGCCTTGGGCCAAGGCTCTCACTGCTGACCCCTGGGTCAGGCGAGGATAGAGCGGGCGGCTGGTAGGAAGGGTCAGGGCGAAGGCGAGTGGGGGTGCTGCCCTGGGCTGGGGGGAAGGGTGGGCAGGGGCTGCTGGGAGAGGGGAAGGTCTGGGTTTCAGAGAGGGCAGGAGGAGCGGTGAGAGGTCAGAGCACCGAAGGAGGAGTCACCAGGCCTGGATCCGTGTCCCAAAGGCCAGTGCCACCCAGACCTCGGGTCTGCCCTTCCCCGCACAGGGGGCTGAGCGAGCCAGGTGGGCCTGAGCATCTTGTCCAGCATTTTGGAATCCTCAAGTGAGGTGTAGCCCGTCAGCACGAGGAACAGAGCGGTCCCCAGAGCAAGTGACAGCCCTGAGGGCAGGGCTGCTCCTCTGAGCCTCCCTGGGGCTAGAGGCTGCTGGCCGGGCTGCGCCAGCCCACAAAGGGGACCAGGGGCCCATGGGACACCTGCCCCAGCCAGCTCCACACACTGCCCCCTCCGTCGCCGTCACCACCGCCACCGCAACCCACTGTCACCGTCACTGCCACCGCCAGACCACAGCAAGTAGGAGAGGCTCTCCCAGCGCAAGGTGGCTTTCCATTTTCTGAAACTAAATGTGGAGGGGTGGGGGGGGATTGCCCCATGGCCCTGTCCCAGCTCCTGTGTGGGTGGGGAACAGGACAGGTCCTTGACTGGCACCGTCACCTCCAAATCAAGGAATCAGGGCTTGAGAGTTTGTCCAACAAAAAAGCTGGGACTCCCCTTGCCCTGCCCAGGAGGGGCCAACCCCAAACCTCTCAAGAGACTTGCTCAGTAGGAAGCTTCTGTCCCCAGACCTTCCTCCAAAAGAAAGAAGACAATATGCTAATGCAGAGGCGCCCCGCGGGGAGAACAGACAGTGGGACACCCACCGCCACCGCCACCGCCACCGCCACTGCCACCGCCACCGCCAGCACCGCCAACCCCCGATCAGGGAGAATCCCCTAACCCAGCCGAAGGTCCACACCCAGGGAGGCGAGGGGCCGGGTGCAGGAGCTGAGAAGTAGGGAGACGAGGCCGGCTCCCCTCTGTGGGGTAAGGTCCTGGGCTGTGCGGGGGGCCCAACGCCCCTGCCGCAGACTGCAGGGAAATCGCCTGATTGGGAGAAAGAGAAAAGGCGCCGCATCCACGCCGCCCCCCGCCGCCGCCGGCGCCCCGCCTTCCACTCGGGGTCTTGACCTGCTGGAGCCTCCAGGCCGCTGGGAAGCTCCCGGGTCAGAGGGTCCCACGAGGGCCGCGGAAATCAGAGGGGAAGACCCCGCGCCCGAGCAC